GAAATTAGGCCGAAAACAGACCTTAAAGATATAGTTCACCCAAAAATTCTGTCATTTACTCACCCTAATGTTGTTCCAATCCCGTTTGACTTTCTTTAGCAAAACACAGAAGGAAAGATTCTGAATTATTGTACTGCTCTCACTTTCCCATACAAGTACAATGAATGGGGACTGAGGCTTTCAGGCTTCAAAGAGAATGCAAAAGCACCATGAAAGTAGCATAAAAATGGTCCACACAACTTGTGTGGTACATTTTCATGACTTCTGACGTATATGACACTGTAATAAAAATCCAACTTCTATTTTGTTAGACACAAAAAAAAAAAAAAAAAAAAGTAAAGTCAACTTAATATATTTTGTATGCGCAACTTAGAATTTTAAATTGTGAAAACTTATGTCAAGTTTGGTGGTGAGTATTGAGCAAGCTCGGTTTGATCACTGATTCTCAGCTCACTGAGTGCAGCAAAACCATCTGAGGCAGAACCATTCCACCTTGCAATCACTTAAAATCTATTTAGTGTTTTTGAGGGTGTTTTATTTTTAGTCACCACTCACCATTAGCATGAAAAGTGTTCATTTTGTTCAGGTTTGTTCAATTAAATATCAATAACTGCTAAGGAGTGAAACGTAATTTTTTTCTCTAGCGATAAGTCATTCCAAAAATCATGGCAATGGATGTTGGTAGGTTAACATTTATTCCAGCCAGACGTAGGCATGTTATCCAAGCATTAATGACAAGGAAAGCCCCTTATACTTGGGAGCAGCTGCGTACGAGGCGTTTCTGGGTATTTCTCCCTCATATCTGCTTCAAGGTCTTGATTGTGGCATTTCTTAGTGGTTTAGAATCCAGTATTCCTGTAATTCTTTTGTCTTTTATGAGTTTAATAAAGAAATCGGTCTCGTCTTCTGTCCAAACATACTGCGCCATCTACATCAGGTGACCTGTAAATGCGCAAAATTTCCATTGCAGTTTTGCGAAATATTCCTTTTTTGAACTGCCTGAAAAAACACCTCATGCAAGCGTTTTTTTTTTTTTTTTTGCGATATATGAGAGTTTTTGAGAAATTGACGCATTTCCATTGGGCGTACTTTCAATTCGCAATTTCAATTTGCGCAATTTTAAGGGTAATGGAAACGCGGCTAGTGAGATCACAAAAAAAATCATTCAGCTTTGGTATTGTGGGCAAAATCATCTGATAAAGATGCCCACAAATCAGATATTGTCACTGCTCACATGAACGTGCCAAAGAGAGCTGGGGCAGATGTCAAGATTTTTATTGAACAATGGCTTCAATATTGGTCTGTTCCTCACACAAAGCTATCATATGACTCCATAAAACTTGGAATATAGTGCACAAGTATGGATAACTTTTATGATGCTTTTTTTTGGCATTGTGAAATTTCATTATTGGCATTATGCTGAAAATATTTACCTTTTGCATTCAATGGAAGAAAGAAAATCATACAAGCTTGGAATGGACTGAGGGTAAATTAATTTGACCTTTTACGTTACAGAAAAAAAAAAAAAAAAAAAAAAAGAACTTTAAGAATCCTGCACTAACTGAACTGAGGAAGAGATATGCCCATCCTGAGACGAGACCAGGAGGAGATGATGGGGGATGGGCACGTTTTGTGCCATCCAGTGGGGGTTTGGCAGGGGGTTAAGACGAGGTCTGCACCCCCATAGTCATTCACACGTTCCACTCTAAAAGAAGGGATTAAGAAGCTTCTCGCTCCTTCTCCAAGACACACACAAATATGGCTTGGCTTCTTTCTCTCACTTACCATGCCAGGATCATCTATGGGATGTGGGATATGACGATGGAAAGGATAATGGTTGGCCACTGAGCAAAAGAGAGAAAGCGTGCATGGATGGTGCGAAAGAGCCTAAAAGAAAGATAGTGCCCTTGGCACACAAAAGCATGTAATCAACACAGGCAGTGTTACTATGACAAATACAAACAGAATCCCTTTATCTCCTCTCATTGTTGCGATTGGACTACTTCAGAAGCAAATCAAAAGTTGACAGCTCCGCTCTTTCTCTCGGTCTAGAGGGCTAGAGCGAGAGAGCGATAGCGTGAGAGGGATGTGTGGGGTGTTCCCTTATGCAAAACAGGGTCACCGCCGACTCAGAGACACACAATAATACTGATTACACGCATATGCTAATTATTATACGCTAATCAAGTACAGTAGCTTTAGATTTGGGCTAATGGCAGGCGCTGGCTCGTTCTGTAGGTAGGAGAAAGCTAAAAATACTATAGGAAAGCTGGGAAGACAGTGGACTATTAGCAGACGCAACAGCACCTGTCACAACTTATCAGTTGTGGAAAATGACTGCTTAGGACAGTAAGGGGATGTGACAATGTCTTGTCTTCACCTCCGCCTCCTTTAGGCAAGAGCTTCATTTTTAAAAGTATAGCATTTCAAAGGAGAATTTTGACTATTTAGGGAAGAAAAAGTGGGAAGCGTTTCAACAACAATATCAGAGTCTGATGAGCATTTAGTCTTTCGTCAAAACTTCTGAAGGTAAGAGGACTTTAAGAAGTATTGTTACAAATGTATCAAGAATAGAATTCTAGTCCAACACACAACTGTGAACAATTTTTTCTCCACCACTTTCATGCAATGTCACAATGTTAAGCTGGAGGGACAGCACGTGCCTTGCTCAAGTGTACAATAGTCATGGTCAGTGCAACCTTTTGTTTACCAAGCCAAATCTTTAACCACTTAGATGACTTCTAGAACACCAGCCCTAAGTAGGGCACACACTTAGAACAAGGTCAAATGTTAAAAATGTAACATTCACACTGACAGTAATTTGCTGTAACAAATGCAGTTAATAACGTATTTGAAGTCATTTAAAATAGAAAGCACAACAAATTTGAAGTATCAAGAGTTAAATAGAAACACTAGAAGACAAGAAAATTACACCAAAGAGTCCAGAAGTCGGACAGTTGACATAGCATTAAATCTGACACTTAAAAAAAATGAAGATTTTTTTTTAAACCAGCTTTAGAAGCAAACTGGGGTAAATAATGTGTGTGTCTGTGTGTGTTTGTGTTTTTCTTTGTAAAGATAACTTTGGCCACATGTATGTAGTCTTTGTATTTGACGGAGAAAATATATTACGGAAGAGTAAAATGAACGAAGGTTTTAAAAACCCATTTTAAAATTTTTTCACAATACTGTATTATACTATTCCTTTCATATCTGCACGTATAAAGATGTTTTGCTTTTGGAGGAATATTTAAAATTTGCGCAGTTTAGTTGTCCATTCAGCATCTCTGGATATCTGAATTACATGTACCATAACAACACTTTTTTACCATAATGTTGGAGATTAGCAAAAAAAAAAGAAGGTTGTATGCTATTTGGGCTGTCAGTGATTTATCTGTCATAAGGTCCAATCCATGCATAACAGTACACACACAAAGAAATGCAAAACAGATGACGTGCGTCTTTCTGTCACTATTCAAAACAACTTCTAACATTCCAAATAATTTAGCCAACAAATCACGATTGTAAGCAAGGCTTGACAATAATACCCGCCAAATGTAGCTGGATTTACGCAGCCACTCCTACTAGCAACTTTGGCGGGTTGAATTTTACATATAATATATACAATTTTCAATTGTAGTCTTTTAAAAAGGCATCTGATTAAATAAACTAAGTGCAATGTAGTGTTGTCAAAAATATCGTTTTTTCGATACAAATCGATACGGAAATATCTGAAATGATTCCAATACTCATTTTGCGCAAAAACTATCCCGACAGACGCTCACTGATGGTGTTTCCCACTCCCAGCCTTTAAAGTGACAGCAGCTGCCAAATATAAAAATATCTATAGGGCAGTTTTCTTCCATGGTATCAATGTCAAAATTGTGGCCAGTGAAAATGCTGATTGTAAGCATTTTGTCAGTGCAAATATCGGAAAGCTGATTCATGTCTTATGAATGACGCGTGTAAGTGTGGGAAATCAAATTTTACAATAAACTGGATTTACTTATTGGATTCAGATTAATTTTATCATGAGACAAATCCCTGAAACATGCAAGAAATCAATTACGTTTAAGTTGGGTGCATGCACGGACAAGAATAAGGAAAATAAATAACTAATGCATTTTAACTGGCAAACTGAAAGGTTTCACTTAGTAAAGACGATGTGAACAGTACTTTAACGTCAACCAGGTTCATCATTATCGTTATAAGCCCCATTATCTTGGCCTTGCACATAGGGGTGTGGTCACACAAACTATCTACACAAACATTATATCTAAAGAGCTTGAAACTCTACTCTCAAAACTCTGCTTATTCTCATGTCATTTTGTAGACATCCCTACTAAACTAAGTACTCCACTGCACAACATAAGTTAGTTGTTTATTACAATGTCAGGCTTACAAAGGTGTTAAGGTCAGTCAGTGTCAAAAAGAATCTGTCATCATTTACTAGTCTTTTTCTTTGTTCCAAACCTGTATGATTTTCATTCTTGCTAATGAACACAAAAGAAAAGAGATTTTAGGCTAAATGTTAAGTACTGACAGCTTCAGTCACCTGTCACTTCCAATGGATCTGATTTCTATACAATTAAGTTACAGAGAATTGAATTACAGCCTCAGGTACATCTCATTTTGTGTTCCGCAGAAGAAAGGAAGTTAGATGGGTTTGCTAAACATGAGGGTCTGTAAATGATGACGGTTTTAATTTCTAAGGGAACCATTCCGGGCACCTAACCAGAGAGTTGCAGTCCGTTTTTTTGATAAATCAAAATAAAGACGAAAACAGTTACGTTGTCATGGAAATGTTTATCAAGCCATCACGATAAACAAAGTTATAAGTTACCTGGACGCACGAGTAAACAGAAGTCGTGGTAGTATTAACAGAAATGAACCACTCTGTGATATGTACCATTAGTACTTCTTACAATCAAGTGTATTTGAGCATTAGTAAGATCAGTGTGTGATTGTCTGGTCTGGTCAGGCCAGCATTGGCTGCTCACCTTCAGTCTGATCTCATATGTCGTGAACCTGTTCCGACCGACACCAACCGTCTCGGGGTTGGAAACATCAATCTCTAGAAAATTACTCGGCGGCCCATACGCATCGTTGAGGTTTTGTGGTTTAGTATACAGCCTTCTCGTATCTGCTATGGCCTCAGCCATCGCTTCCCGTCACAGGTTTGAGCAAACAAGCAGCTATCGATTGCACTTCCGATCAGCTGAGGAACAGCTGACATGTGACATACCAACACGGTCACGTGGCAATATCCTTAGGCTTTGATTGGATAAAAGCTGTCATGGCTTGTGAAGTTGAGAATGTTAAAATGGCTATTTATAACCTTCAGTAGAGTAATGCTTAGCGTTTATTCAGTCATGTGCCAATATTATTAGTTATGACTTATATTTTTAAAGATATATTTATTATGTAGATGTAACGTGCTTGCTACATTACAGACTTCTTATGTGATTATATAAACCCGAAAGAACAACATTTATAGCAGTTCACCGTAACGGGATATCAAGGTGTCAGTGTAAGGAGCTCAATAAAGTTATTAGGTTTTGAATCAACATGGCGGCATACGCGTCGCGGTGTACAACGGGATGTCTTTTAAGATTTATATCAAAAAAGACAAGTTTGTCGAAAGGACTTTGGTGTGAAGTGTTGAAGGCAGGTAGAGGTGAGCACAAACATTCTTCTGTCATATGGTCAGTGCTGATAACACGTGAAAACACCGGGAAATCGAGTACGTCATAATTCTTTAGGTAACGACTGGTCAAGTTATAACAACAACAAGAAGAGTAATAATAATAATATATTATTATTATTTTAAAAGTAATAACCATGTTGTAGATCAGATTGTTCACTTGCGTGGTTATTACCTTTAAAATATTGTAATTATTATTGGTTAATAATTATTAAATTATGAAATGTGCTGTTTAATTGATTAACTTTTTATTGTGCAGGAGAAATATTTAGTTTATAAGAACACATTTCTTGAACAAATTTGAAGTCTATTAAGTTTAAATGTCCTATATCATATAATCTTTCAAACTTGTAAATTAGGCTATGCAACGAATAACACTTTTCTAAGGCAGTATGACTTTTTTTTTATTAATCATTTTGTGTTTATTTTATTATAATTTATGTTTGTTATATATTATAAAATAACATATTATTTATTAATTATAATATATATATATATATATATATATACTAATAATTTTTTTTTTTTTTTTTAAACACTAGACCATATGGCCACTTGTGTGTTTTATTTGCCTGATACAAATAGTTCACCCAAAATACTCATGCTAAAATTAAACCAAACTTGTACTGTATATCATTCTTTCTTTCGTGGAACACGAAAGCAGATGTTTGACAGAACGCTATTCACTGCAGTCATTGCATCTTTTTCCATACTCGTTTTTTTCTTTCTTCTGGGTAAACTGTCACTTTATGCAATGCGGTGTTTACTGATATTTTTTCAAGAAAAAAAAATAGTTGTCACACTCGTAATAGCTGTTTTACGAATCTTTTGTTTTGCGTTTATCAAATACAACATGCAACTTAATCAACTTGATGTGCTTTAGGGATGCACCGAAATTCTGGGCCGAAACTGAAAATTCTGGAGGATCGTGGCCAAAAACTGAAACCGAAAATGCTTTAAAAAAATTATTTATTTTAATTTTAAATTGGCTTATTTCTGTATAATTGTATTCATATTAGACATTTTAATAAAATTCAATCATTTTAATGATACTGAATTTAAAAAAATACAAGCCAATAACTGTAGTGTATTTAGGTAGAGACATGTAATATATATATATATATATATATATATATATATACACACACGTGTGTGTGTGTGTGTGTGTGAGTTTATTCTGCCAACTAAAAATAAGATATTTTCAAGAATGTTGGTAACCAGACAGTTGATGGTAGGCATTGACTTCCATAGTAGGGGAAAAAATATATGGAAGTCAATGGCTACCGTCAACTGTTTGATTAGACATTCTTCAAAATATCTTTTGTATTCAGCAAAGAGTAAATTATGACAGAATTTTTTATTTTTGGGTTATTTAATAAATTATTATTTACTAAAGCTGCAGTCCGCAGTTTTTCCTCTTTGTCGCCATCTCTATTCGAAATCTGCAATTGCAGTTATTCGCGGAATTATCAACTTTACGTGAGGTGTACCTCGGCACGGCACAGCGCTGATGAATCCAGTGTTTTGAGGAGAATGTGCGGCTGTCAGTCACCGCGCTGGTGTGGATACATGTGTGGATACTGTCATTCAGAATCACAGATTATACTTTTCGGAAGTATGACCAACATAATAATTTTCACCCTAAAATGCCATCTGAACAAGTAAGTAACATCCACTTTTGTTCTTCTTTGCTGAAAAAAAGCATTGCAGTAAATCGCGCTGATTAAATCTAACGATCGATTACCATATCACGTCAAACCGTGCAAATTATACTTTGTTCTGAAATTGTTAATGTTAACAACATCAGCATTGCGTGACTAGATTTAAAGCCCTTCAGATATTTATCCTTGTTTTCGCATGGGTCCGGTTGCAGTCTCTTTTTCCAAACCCTCAGTCCAAAGTCTTTTGCATTTTACAACGGGTGAATCTCTAGTTGTCACTGGGGATTGTCGTTTAAACCTTTATGGATCAAGTGCAGTGAGAAAAGACTATAAATCTCCACCTCCAACATCCTCACACGCAATATAGCTTATACTAGCCGAGACTCCTTCTTTATGTGTACAGATGTGACGTAATGATGCAAAGACATGCTCGAATTTCCCGCAGAAATCCACCAGTACTGCTGGAATTAAAAACATTATTACAAGCTTACCGCTTTGAATCGAGCTAAGGCAAGCAGATTGTTTTTTGAACACTGGCTAGTTATGTACTTGCTCAATTTATTTTGGATAGTTTTTAACCCAAAAAAGTTATGGACTGGAGCTTTAAGTGTATTATGTGAAATAAGCGCTAAAATATTGCTTACTACTGTATATACAAGTCCGATACATGTTTAACAACTGTCATATTTTCTTTCTTAAGGGTGTTCAACATTACCTGCGGGACAAACATCTACATCAGCACCTTGGGCTGCCCGTGTCGGACTCGTCAGCCACTATGACAGTCTTGTCCTCTCCGGTTCGCTACGAGAGGACACTCAACAGAGAGCTGCTCTTCTTCAATTAGAAAAGTTAAACAGAGTGATGACTGGTTATACCAACATCCCTATCTATCAACCTAAAGAATGCTCACAGAGTCAACCCACCTCAGAACTGGAGAATAAGGTAAAACCAAGTGAAAGTAGAATAAAACGTTGCAGTCCTGAAGAAATTATGTCAAATGAAAAAGAAGACAGATGTTAATGACACGCCAAACTGAGCAGTGCATTCTGTCAATGTTTACGGTGAAGAAAAAACTTAGCAGTAACTTTCAGACAGACCCCAGCACTTGCACCGGGCCATTGCCTAATTTGCTGTGGGCCTGTTATTTGTAGGTCAAAGCAGCTTCAGCCTGTTTGTGTTTGTGGGGGTGGAGAGTGGGAGGAAAGACCAGACCAAGCAGTTGCTGGATCACAGCACAGCCCCCTACTGAGTCAGGACACCCCACCTATCCCTCTTTTCAGTAATGAGGGGTCGCCATTGTCTGGGAGAGAGATTCCCAGCTCCACTTTTAATGTTGGGAAATAAACACAAACATGTGCAGCGATGTGCTCTAGTCTTGATTATTTAGGACAAAAAGGGCACTTCATTAGGTGAATTGAACAGTGCAATGCAAGGAATGAATAAATTAATTTGTAATAAGTTAATCACTATTGAGCTGAGCAAAGTTATTATTTCCAAAAAATCTAATCCCAAGTCATTGTTAAGCATTACCAGAGCAAACATCAGTTCATTTGTTGAGTTAAAGAGAACAGAGCTTTTCTATCTAAGAGTGTTGGCATGTGAACTTTTTCCCCTTGGCTGCATCCTGTGAAAGTATAGAGCATGACTCCACCTTGTGGACCCATCCCTCACAAGGCCTGTGTCCTCTCTCGCTCAGTGTCTTCGCTGTGTTTGTCCACTCTACCGTGACTGGACCACTGCCACCAGCGACAATAACGAGCTACAGAGTTCTGAAAGTCAGTGAGAAGTCACACGCTGTCATCCAAGAACGCTGTGCCTCACTGCTCAAACAGCATTCACCCCTCCGAAAACAATCAGAGAGGATGAGGTGAATACGGGGATAAGGATGTCGGCTCTCTGTCTTTCCTGAATGATCAATTGTCTGCAGCCACAGACAGTTCTGGGCTGGCTCATCAAACGCTTTGTACTCTGAAAGTTGAATGCATTGCAGATATTGTTTAGAAACTTTAAATCAAGGGGACTCTTAATCATTTAAATTGCCAAGAGTTACCTGAAAATGTTACAGTGTGTGACCAAAGCAAACCTCAAGATGTTTTTATGATGTGAGCTATGTAGGCTAAAATGTGCTAAAATGAAGCTTTTTACAGCATTGAGGAAGATGATTATATTTGCTATGCTATTATTTTACAGGAGTCCCCAAGGCCACATCCCCCCCAAGGTTACTATATTCATGGTGATGTTGGTAAGTTTCAGTTCATTTTTAGACATAATTAGTCATTTTAAACATGCATATATTTGGAGGGACTTGGCTGGACTTTATATTGGAGTGGCCATTAATGCTTATTCTGTTTTCCGTTTTATAATCAACAGGCACTGGAAAAACCATGCTGATGAATCTTTTTTACTCATTTGTGGAAAACCGAAGAAAAACGAGAGTTCATTTCAATGGATTCATGTTAGATGTACATAGAAGTAAGTTCTGACCAGGGTGACCGGTTTTCAAATGTGTGGATACATGAAAGGTTCTCGAACACGGGACGGTTGTCATATGCACTACCATTTTAAAAGTTTTGGGTCTGTAAGATTTTTTAATGTTTTTGAAAGAAGTTTCTTGTGCTTACCTAGGCTGCATTTATTTGATACATTAAAAATTAGTCATATTGCAAAATATTATTACAATTTAAAATCACTGTTCTATTTTGATATGCTAAAATGTAATTTACTCATTTGTAGGCAAAGCTGGATTTTCAGCATCATTACTCCAGTCTTCAGTGTCACAGTGTTCCTTCAGAAATCATTCTAATACGCTGATTTGGTGTTTAAGAAACATTTCTTAGTTATCAAACTGTTTTCAACTGTGATAATAATGATTAATATTTCTTTCAGTATTCCTTGTTGAATAGAAAGTTCAAAAGAACATTTATTTGAAATGAAAATCTTTTGTAACAATATAAATGTCTTTCATTTTTTATCAATTTAATGTATCTTCACTAAATTTAAAAAAATGCTGACCCCAAACCTCATTACCTCATTCCATATCAAGCAATAAATAGTATTATTATTTGTACAAGTAGCTAACTATTAGTTTTCATGCATGAATAGCAATTAAGGAAAATAACAGCATAAAGCAGAATAGTTTGTTGCTTTTTCCCTCCGATTAAAATTGGTTTCATTTAAGTTTTGAGAGCATTTGCCTTTATTTGTATTGATTTTAATTTGTGCATTCCATTCAGGGATCCACAAACTGAAACTGAGCCTACCAAAGCGGCGGATCGGTAAAATGACAATGTATGACCCCATCTTTCCGGTTGCCATGGAGATCGCAAAGGAAACCTGTCTCATTTGCTTTGATGAGTTTCAGGTGAGGGCGAGAGTGGGGACATTGAGAGGGTGAAGAGTTTTGAAAAATTGTTGAAAGATTTTAATGCACATTCACTGTGTGTTGTGTGTGTTTGTGCATGGGTGAAGGGATACCACAGAAAATCCCAAATATACCGCTGTAAGTAAGAAGCATGCTGATGGTATTTTTATGATGATGTAGTTCATCTGACCAGAGTGTCGACCAGCACCAATGTCTTGCTTATTTTGGAGCCATCTAGTGGAGTCAGACACTTTCACACAAAGCTGAAAACACATGCTGGGGCCACAGATAATCGAGATGAGAAAAAAAGCTTGAAATAAACAGGAAACAAAAGGATGAGGCAAAATAAATGTCAGAGCGGTACATTTTTGAAGATTTAAACCCATCATCAGCCCATTTCTGAATTTGTAATGAATATTTTTGTCCTGGTGCTCGTTCTCTCACTGCTTAAGGATGAAGGGCTGCTCTTTTTATTAATGGCTTTTAAATTGAAATGCTGATCACATTCATTTTATTAATTTAGTTTTGGATCTCGTTATAGTCTGGAAGCTCTCCTTCGATCTGCTTGCCAATCGTCGCTAACAGCAATATGGAAGGCACACACATTTTGTTTATGATGCATAGATGAGGAGCTGACAGCCCCTTACCAATCAGGAGCCACTGCCACTTAAGCATGCAAATGAAGCATCGAGTTTCACTCGGCCCCTCTTGCTTCCTTGAGTGAGGGGTAATGGAGAGCGACTATGGCGGGTCGCATGCATCCATGCCTCTTAAATGCTAATGAAATTTCTCCATTCTCTTCATTAGTCCGGCATCATTATCAGTAATTTGTAGCCTTCCCCTTTTGTCCCTCTCCACTCCCTTAATGAATGCAAGGTATTGAGAGAAGGACCAAGAGAGATATAGAAAGAGGAAGAGCAAGCAGAAACCGCTTGAGGTATTGTCTCAGGCCCCTGTCAGTCTCCGGGGTGAAATTACTCATCGACGGAGTTGTATAAGTAAAGGTTTAAGATCAAAAGAGTGCAATTTGGCACCCGTGTGCGCCACACAAAAGTGACTCTTTGCTGGCATAATTGGATGCTCATTTGAATATCTGCGCCGTTGTTTTCGCTGTCGTTCACAACAACCCCACACAGAGGGCTTTCTTGCACTCACCCTGGCAATCAATACCCAGAGACTAAAAGTGTGTGTGTCTACACACGCGCACATGAGTGTCGCGGTGCCTGCGCAAAAAACAAAAAACAAATACAGGACTGATGAAAAGGTCATAATTAAATGACTCCTTTGAAATGAAGAAGAGAAGAGGACAGTTAAAGGAAATGTGATCCAATTTATGCCGTAGCACCTCATCTTTGTAACAGACCACCCTTCTGACAACACTCGCACGCCCTCCACCTTGCCCCACGTAAGGCCGCTATAGACGTTGCTAATTGGGTTTGATGGGGCCGAAGGTTTAATATGCAAAAAAGGGAAACACTTCAATATAAGAAAAACAACATATGCTGGGGGTATGGCAGTCATAAGTGTGTCCTTCTAAGAATAGTAGAGCTCAGTAAAAGAGGAGATCTTCTGCATGACAAAAACATCCCCGGCCCTCAAATTTAGCTCCTCGCTGCCAGATATGCAAATGCTAATAAAGTATCAATGCAAGACAAGGAGAAATTTTGCTTTTGACTAAATGCATTTCAACCCTGAAAAAGTAGCAGAAACATGGGAGAAGATGAGAGCGGACCATGGTCGATTGCGTTATTGACTAAAGGGCTCCTTTTGTCAGGGGAGGGTCAGCAGCCCCTGTGTTGCTGCAGATGTGTGTGAGGCAACAGCTCGCTGCTGTGAAAAAGGCAACGTTTAAATGATAATAATGAATGATGATGATGAAAATGATAATAATGAAAGAACCACTCATCCTCTCGCTTCTGAGATTCAGGGACAGCCATGCCAGGCCCTCAAGAGCACAATGGGACTGTGTGTGTGTGTGTGTGTGTGCGTGTGTATGTATTTGTCTCTGTGTGGCCATCTGGCTGTCATTGTGCCACTGATTTTACCTCGAAACACTTGTTTATTTATTTATGTATTCAATTATTTACCTTTTTCAGCGCTTTGGCCACTTGTCCTTGTCTCCAGCAGAAAGCTGCGGCTCTGTGTGGCCATTTTACAGTCAGGTGGAGTGGCTTTGTGTCTGTCCTGCTTCTGTGTGCGAGCGCGTTGGGGAGGGTGATGTCAAAGGACCTTGGCCAAGGCTTCGGTTTTAAAATGTAACGACACCTGGTTTTCGCTCATTCATTCGCATGTACACGCATAAGTACACATGTATCCGCACAATTGTGGTAATTAGCTCAAGGCAGAGGAAGGGCAGAGAGGACAGAGTTGCGCCTCGCTCATCTTCAGCTGATACACGGTCACCTGCGCTTGCTCCTATAGTGTCTGACGGTCCTGCCTAGAGGACAGAATGGAAACAACAGCAGCTATAGGCTGCTTTAAAGTCAACCTGGAATGAAAACCAAACCTATTTTCCGTATTAATACGCATTCATTTAATACACAGTTTGGCTTCAGACAATGAATTTGGGGCCATAAAATCCAGGTGAATTTGACCTATTCCTGTGAACTGAACTGATGGTATGCTGCTTTTTACATGAGCAGGAAAAAGGAAATTGCTGAATCAGAGTACGTGCTGCCAAAATAAATCTTTCCTCAAAGTACAATGAATAATAATCACATTTTTCCATTTGTTTTTCAGGTGCTGGATATAGCGGATGCTATGATTCTGAAACAGTTATTTGAGGGCTTGTTCAAGTGTGGAGTCGTGATTGTGGCAACCTCAAACCGACCACCTGAAGGTGAGATGTCTGGGTAATGTCGAAGCAGTTTATGTGACTAACATAAAGTGGGGTTCAAACGTCTGGTTCCATGTTGCAAATCTGCACAAAAAATAATAATAATAATATTACCCGGGAAATTATATTGAAAGTTTAGCTTTCATTACTTCATAACTTTTCACTTTTTAAAATTATATTTAAGTTTAAATAAATTATTTAAATGTTTTTTTTTTAATTAACTATAAAAGAAAACCATTAATTATAATATTTGGGGTCAAAAGAGGTATTTTAAATTATAATAATATCTCACTATACTACTGTTTTATTGTATTTTTCATCAAATAAATGCAGAGTTGGTGAGTATAAGAGACTTTCAAAAACATTAAAAAATGTTTTAACTGTAGTGTAAAGAAATGTATTAAAATTAACTTTTTGTAATTCATCATAATTTTTTTGCGAACACATTCAAATCTGAGAGAAATCAAAGTAGTTTATTCCTTTCATTTCCTCCATCAATTTCCAGGGTTAAGTGTGTGTGTTTTCTGATTACTGATCTGTCGCCTACACAGCGCACATGACTCTTGTACTTTTTCACCTTGTATTGTTCTCTACCAACTTCTCAACAATAAACCGCCGTACTTTTCTCACTCTCCTCAGTCTTTGTATGGCCTGAAAGTAAAACATGTTCCTAAACTAGACGTCCGTCTCGTGTTCTAATCCAGTTCTGGACTGTCTCGTGTGTCAGTCTCGTGTTTCTTCCTTTTTACTCCTTTTTAAGTTCACCTCCCCTTTTAGTCACTCCTTGGTTAATCTGTGTATTTTGATGCCATGATGTTTGAGGTCTATTGATATTTGGCATAAAATCTCTCACTCCTTTTCTGCTTTTTTATTGCTCTCTTCCTCTCGCATACACTCAAACACCTGTCATTGGCTGAAACTAATCTGATATGTTATTCTGAAACACAATGATGACTGCATCCCTCTGAACTTTAAACCCTTCGTTTTTCAGTATTTTTTTTTATTTCTTTTATGTCCGTTTTGGTGTGGCTTGAGGAATAATACTCTGTCATTATTTTCTCCCCCGTATGACTTTTTTTCATCTGTGGAACACAAGGGCAGTTATCTTGCAGAATGTCCAAGCTGTTGTTTTACATACAATGAAAGTGAATGGTGACCAAAGCTGTTCTGGGAAAAAAGCAGCTTGGACAATCTTCTAAATATCTCCTTTTGTGTTCCACAGAAGAAAGTGAGTCATACAGGTTTAGAATGACATATGGGTGACATGTTTGGGTGACCTATCCCTTTAAATCATGTGGAAACTTCAACCTCACCGGCATCAAAGATTTCTTGCCTATACGCCGTTCTTTTGTAGGCAACTTTATTTGATATCCGCTTGATTGTGAGCAGTTACTCTTTTATCTCTCTCTACCGTTCCCACTCTTTTCTTCCTCTGCCTCATTGTTGATTCAATAGATGCCGTTTTTTGCAATTGCTGTGATGTTACATTAAACTGGAGAGCGAGAGTGATAAGGGTAGAGATAAGACAGTCCTTCTGCCTTTCTCTTCTCCGTCTCTGTCTTGGAGCGCTGCTAATGTCTCGTTGTATGAAGTGGCCTTGTGTGCAGAGTACAAAACGGTAAGCGGCAGTTACATAAAGAGACCCTCTCCTAACATTAACCAGCCACTGAGAACAAAGCTTACGCTAAAACTTAATAGCCATCTTATTCCATTTTAATTAGGTGACTAATGGATAGACTGGTACACATGAAAGATGGGAGGGAGAGAGATGGCACCAAGAGAGATTGCTCATTTATTGAAATAAAGATGCTAGGCTGAAGAGCCGCTAAAGAGGCTCGCATGTTTGAACTTGGATGTTCGTGGTCACCCAGAACCATTTCTTCAGGTAAAGTGAGGGAAATGGATAGATAAATGTGAAAAAGGGTGCTCTTCACTTCTTTAAATCTTTAAAGGGTGCTCTTCACTTCCTTAAATCTATAAATGACCCTTTAGTTAAGCACTGGAATATGGGAAAATAAACTGCCAAAAGAATGTAGATTTTTTTTTTCGAAGCATCTGGATGTCTGTCATTTTTATTAAAATATTAAATTATTTGCTACAATAGATGATTGAGATTCATCACATATATAACTTGGGCTTTGATTTGAAACGTTATTATTATGTTTAAACAATATTTAAAGTGTCTGGAAATAGTGACTGCAGTCACCTTAAAGCAGTGGTTCTCAACCTTTTTTGAGTCCAAGGCCCCCCTGTTGTCCACAACAACATTCCAGTTGGTCATGATTTTCCGAAAAATTATGAATGATAAAAAAATGTAAAACATTTTTACTCAATTTCTACCTGAGCTTGGCGTAAATAGAAACATGTATATTCATTAAATATATGAAAATGCCCATGGACTTTGCAGGCTTTGTGTTTGTGCATGAAGGTACCTTGCAAAACTGATTTCGTACAGATTTCTGAGGCAGCGTAATGGTTTAATGATAGCAATAAAGAGCGAGCTTTGGTGAAAACTAAGTGAATATTTAATTACCACAATAGTAATTTCACACCAGAAATGATATCAAAAGTGGAAAACGTTGGTCAAAAACGTACATTTACACACAAACTGACCACCAACAGCAACTTTCAGAAGCCATCTTTATTTTTCTAGCTCAACTGTCACAGAATAGAAAGCACAGGATTGTGGGATATCAAAGACAGTGAAGGATACATCTATGCTGCCTTCAAAAATCTATAAAATTAAGGAATCTCAGTAGACAGGACGTGCCATGATGACTTCCTACCTTGTGAAATCCTAAGGCAGTATTTATCAGTTTTCGCACACAGCCTAAAAGTGGAGTTAAATGCAGTCCTGTGCTGCGTCCCAATTCGCATACTATCCGTCCTAAATAGTATTCGAAAATAGTATTAGTACGTCCCAAATCAAAGTATGTTTAAATCATAGACAGTAAAAGAAATGGACACAGCGACCCCATTGATTTCAACAGAGAAAATTGAAGCCCGTTAAAAGCTGATAGCCAGGCGTACTGCGCAGGGTCAAACTGAGCCTGTCACGTGAGCAACCTGTATGTCTTCTAGTAGCTGCCTTAAAGTGCATATAATGAGAAACATAAGAAAAGAGTTCTATGTAGGCTACTATGAACGCATTCTGTAACTTTCATAACGAAAATCTTTTTATTAAAAATGAAGAAAAAAAACTTCTGCTACTTTCTGACATCAGAAGAGTACATTAGCACATGACCACGAAATCTGAAGGTGCAGCAACCAAAAATGGCCCTTTTCATTTTAAGGGTCAGAGAGGGGGGAAATGGCCATTAACGTGAGGGAAAAAGTATGTATGATGCCTTTAAAATATCTCTCAGTATGTAAGGGGGATCCCAGTTTCCTTTCCTCCTTAAAAAAAAAATATAAAAAAATTAATCGCCTGAATGGTTGTCATACGTGTCCTCCAGATCCCTCGCTTTCATTTGTTCTTTCATAGGAAGATCCATATGGTAAGCTTTCATTTCTTGGGTGAGAACTGGCCAAACGACTCTCACTGGACTGTTTATTGCTCAACATGCCTCTGTTATGACAGTTCTGTTTCCTTTTTATTTTCTTGCCCACGGCAGCTTTAAACAAGCTTTTACAGCACAGACCGAAGCATATACTCGTCATGGTCTCTTTACATCTGTGTGTGTGTGTGTGTGGCTTATAATGCCTGTGTGGCTAATTGAAGTCTCTATTCACCGTGATGCAGGTTTATTGTCTGTGCAGAAAGAGAGAGACTTCTTCTCTTGAGCTCATTGGTTGGGAATGTAATGAATTTCATGTACTGCCTTTCTCCTGCGCTGCCCACAGAAATCAATTTCTGCCTCTCCTCGTCCCTTTTGTTCCTCCTCCCCTCCCGTTCCTCACTTCATCAATAGACACTTTATTTGCCAATCATAGATGGAAAATGACATTATGAGGAGGCTAAAGAGTGAATCTAACCAGCATCTCTCTCTCTCTCTCTCTCTCTCAGAACTGTACAAAAATGGGCTTCAGAGGGCTGCTTTTGTGCCTTTCATTGGTGTACTCAAGGTAAAGACAAAGTCATTCTCTCAGTTCATTTATTTATCCTTTCATTCTATCTCCGTCCATCTCTCTTCATGTTTCCTCCTCTGCTCTGTCTGGTTTTTGATGTATTTTATTCACAGGTAAAAATACACAACCTCATGTGTGTTTGCAAAAACACACAAAACAGAAAAAAGACCGCTTTGATCATACCTGGAGATGAGAGCAACAGACTAAGAGAGAGTGTGACAGACATGGAGGCCGTTTAATGACTGGCGTGGGTTGGCTGGAATGAGACACCATTGCGGGAAGCTGCTTGCATTTCAAAGTGCGCCCGGCAATGGACGCCAGCAATGCGCTGATCTACTTTGCAAGTTAATTGTATTATTTTAAGCAGGTATTGGCATTATCCTGTGTGCGGTCTGGGTAATTACCATCATCCTGCGACAGCTTTCCATCATAAATAATCAGACGATCATTTTCAGGCATTTTACAGCTGGCCACATTCTTGCACATTTGATTGAGCTGAATGCGTTTTAACATCAAACGGCTTGTTTGTGGCTGTGACACTGTGAATATAGGTATATATCCCCATGATTTTCCTTTTTTTTTTTTTTCTGTTTAGAAATTGAGCGTGCTGTTAAGTCGTCAAAGTTCTAAGGGAAGCACAAATCACAAAACAAACCAGTCCTTTACATGTTCCTTTTCTCTATGTGAGCTTGAAGAGCGACAGAATAAGAGGATGCTTTGATGACTGGCAGCACAATGTCTTTATAATCCACTTTATATCGTAGTATTCCTCATTGTTAAAGGGCCCCGTCAGCAGAATAAAAAAAAATAAAAAAAAAGCCACTAGACGCTTCATTCAGCTTGTGATTTTTCTTAGTTTGACCCCTGGATCTTTTACGTTCAGTGGCCCAGCACAGTCACTCTGGTTCAGCCAATCTCTGTCGAATCCCTGGGGTCCTTAAAGTCATCCTCTATTCTGGCCTGTGCTAATCTTGCCTGGTAAGAGTGCTGAATGCCCAGCGCCCTGCCTTGCACCTCTAACGCTCAAGCTTCTTTGTTAGGCCATCTGGTTTTGGGGCAACCTAGGATCCCAGTTCAGGGTAACTAGGGTGGCCCAAGTGCCTCCTCTCATGTCTGGTCAACCCTAATAATGTGTGACCGACTCACTGAAATGCACTCACTGGCTCTTGTTCTCCTATATCTTTATCGCTCTTCAGGGTGGTAATACTTATTTCATTTGCTGACAAAATATTATTGAATTCTTGTCACTTTAACTCATTAATTCAATATGATTAATCATGAATATATATATATATATATATATATATATATATATATATATATATATATATATATATATATTTATATTAAAGGTATTATAGTTTAAAGTATAAAAGTTGGGGTCAGTATTTTTTTTTTTAAAGAAATCAATTTTTTTTTCAAATATAATTTTTCCAGCAAGGATTCATTAAATTGATCAAAAGTACAGTACAAACTTTTACATTGTTACAAAAGATTTTTATTGCAACTTTTCTATTCATCAAGGAATCCTGAAATGTGTGTATATATATATATATATATATATATATATATATATATATATATATATATATATATATATATAATGGTTTCCTCAAAAATATTAAAAAGCACAACTGTTTCAACATTGATAATAAGAAATATTTCTTGAGTATATTAGAATGATTTCTAAAGGATCATGTAAGACTGGAGTAATGGCTGCTAAAATTTGAACTGCCATTACTGGAATAAATTACATATTTATATATTATACACAAAATATATATTTTGATTGGTAGTGTATATTTATTATGAATGATATATTGGCTTCTAAAGTCACTTAAAGACATCTTTCTGTTCAGTGCTTTTGTTTACCACATTTACATTAATGTATATATTAGTGCTGGGCAACGATTAAAAAATTTAATCGCGATTAATCGCATGATTTCTTGCGATTAATCGCGATTAATCGCATTGTTACGCGCAATATTGAATAATGAATTCTAAAGTAGTGTATTGCGCACTTTTGATTTAAATGTACTGCTACAAAAGTGCAATAACATGTGGTTTGCAAAAACTTTAAACAAATAAGGTGCTTTTATACCAGCAGTATTCCCTTTACACAGTATCAATAAAATATTTCTTGTAAATCTCAACTTAAACATTAACGTAATCAAATCAAATATTTAAACAAAGCTATTTGCCACTGCCAGGGCATTACCTTTTATCTAGCTTGTTAAAAAGAGTCCAGTTTTCTTTTCTTTTTTTTTTTCTGAACAGGTATCTTGTATCAGGGAGCAGCAGAAACAGTCTATGTAGTCAAAGGGTCATGATCACTACTACAGATATAAGTCGACCAACGTTACTTCTCTGATAGCAGCTTAGGTTTGGTCATGGCATGCCATGGTTTCCCACGTAAGATTACATTAAACAGAGGTAAAGCCCAATTTATACTTCTGCATCGAACTCACGCCGTAGCTGTGTAGCGCGCGTACCCTGACGTGCATCTCTCCAAAAATGTAACGTCAATTCTACGCGTACTGCAAGCGCTGTGATTGCTAGAACCGCTCCCCGGGTTTCACACTCTCCCTCTGCATGTGTAATTGCGCGTCAACGACGCAGATTTATAAATGAAAACCAACGCGTAGTCTATAGCGTAGAGGCTCCGGCTTAAGTCCGACGCAGAAGTATAAATCAGCCTAGAGTGAGGTGAAGTGGTCGAGCACAGGTGCAGCGACAAGCGGGTGCGTTCCTGTGAAACTGTTGCGGTCATGCTCGCCTCACGCACGCGCCCGCGCGTTGCCGAAGTTGAATTGTCTAACTTTTTGTACACGACGCGCAGCACAAATCATTGGAAGAGAGACTGATCCTTGGCTCGCTGTTTGTGAGTTTCCAGAATCTAAATAGTTATCAGGACATCAACAGGAGGGAATTCACATGGCAGAGCATCCCCGCTAAACTAAACGCAGGCCTATCAGGTAAAGTTATGTATAATTTGAAGCCGTTGCATGGTTACTATCCATAGAGCGCCTGTCATTCACTCGCGGAGCGCTGTCTCCCTTTCTGTTCACCTGAGAGAACCTGCCAAAGCCTCTCCACTGCTTGTTTGGGTGGGTTATTTGCTGGCTGACCAACATCCCACCCCTCCTGTGATCATGGTTTGACTGTAGGCCTATGTGTATTCAGAGCCAGTGAGCAACGGACTTTCAAAATAATAATAATAAAAAAAACTGCGTTAACGCGCGATAAAAAAATTGTCGGCATTAATTAATAAATGCGTTAACGCGATAATAACGCGTTAACTTGCCCAGCACTAGTATATATATAATAAATATACACTTTTATACACCTACACTACATTTCTTTGAATGAATATTGATATATATCATTAATTCATTGATTTTTATTTGACAGAACTAATTATTATTTATAAGTAAGGTCAAAACCCCTTATTGATTTTCCATCAGACAGACACATTAAAATAGAGGTGTGATGATCTTAATTTCGCTCAAATGTCTCTCTTGATTTTTTTTTTTCTAACTGCTGTTTCCTATCTTCCTTTGGTTGGAGCAAATGGTAATGTCTAGGGTGTGTGTGTGTGTGTGTGTGTGTGTGTGTTTTCATGGTGAAGGTCTCTCTGGTGGATAATAAGGATAAGTGTATGATGATTGAATGACTTGAAGATAGAGCAAAAATGAAAAGAGGCTATTTATGTTAGATGGCTGCTAGTGTTCCACTGACCTTTTGTTATCCTCCTATTTCTAATATTTCTTGTCATTTTCTTCCTTCAAAGACATTTTATCGTTAAATTTCTAAACCCTTACAGAAACCTTAAAGTAGTTTTGAAGAATAGTTAAGTAGACGGACAGACACACTTGATCTGATTAATTAGAGGGAGTTAATAAGAACAGGCCTATGAGAGATATCTAATCTCATCCATAGAGAGTGGGACAGAGAAGTGGTTGCCAGGAATGCCGCTGTCTCTTCTCTTGCTGTTATTAATTTTCTGTCTGATTTTGTGTGTAAAGGCCCATTTATACCAAGTCCAATATGACTAAGAAACATTGGTAACACTTCATAATGAGGTTTAATTTTTTAACATTGCTTAACTACATTAGTTAACAATGAACAATACTTCTACACAGCATTTAATGTCAATGTTTACTAAAACATTTTTAAGGTCAAATGTTGGCATTAATTAATGCATTGTGAGTGTGAACATTTTTATTAACTAACATTAACAAGGGTTAATATATTGCTAAGGGGTGTAACGATACCGTTGTCACGATTTGATACATATCACGATACTAAACTCACAATACGATATTATCGCGATACTACAAGACATATGGTGAAAAGGTTAACAAAAAATGTACTGTTGATTAAAATGCTACATTTGGTGGTGGAAATGAATAGGCTTGGACTTGGTGCTGGTAACCTAATGCACAGGACAATGGTGACACCAGAATAAAAATATTCATGATTCTGAAGCTGAAAATACAGAATTATTTTAGACGAATATGCATGCACTCCGTCACTGACTAGATATATTTAAAATAATGTAGTGCACTTTTTAATGGTAACATAAGACATTTGGCATTATCAGGATCCACATTACATTATTATACATTATATTCAACATTATATAAGTAGTTTAAACTCTTACACAAAATCTGTAAACTTGATTTTGTTCTCACAATTTTCATTTTGGGTGAACTATACACAATACATATCCACGATACATATTGTTGCATTTTTGTATTGCGATATTTTGAGACACGATATATTGTTACACCCCTAATATTGCTCATTGTTAGTTCATGTTAGTTAATGCATGAACTAATAATAAGAAATAAATCCTTAAAAGTGTTACCAAAATATTTTTATCCACCAAAACTCACACTGATTTGTCTGATGATACCTGAATGGCAATGTTATCTTATTAAATGATTTGTTTGGCAAAAAAAATAGCTGTAACAGTACAATAGTTTGGATTTTAAATCTTGTTGGCCCTGTCAAAACTTCTGGCTTTGGTGTGAATAAGCCTTAAGATCAACATTTGAGGTGACTTGACATTCGTTAACAGTCCCTCAAAAGATGTTGTTTTGCCAAGTCACCACTAAAGTCGGTCAGTCATGTTTTTAGCAGGGGCAGATTAGCAAAGACTGAGGAGCGAGTGATTGTGATGGAGAGGATGAGAGCTGTAGCCTGTGGCCTCTGCCGAGGTCTGGGGGGTCCACGCTTTCAAAGCGAGGCAGATGTTCCAAGGGTGATGTTTCTTTAAGAGTCCTGGACAGGGCAAGGAGAGGTTGTGAGAACATTTTGAGTATGTTTTGAGAGCGTTCTGAGTAACTAACAAAGCCGGTTACATGTAAAGGGAATAGATAATTAGGCGTAATTAGTGCGTTCACGTCGTTAACCACCCCCATTGCTCTCTCTCCCTCTCTTTTTCTCTCCCTCGCACACACTCACTAGTCACCTAATCTCTCAATACATTCACTCAAGACACGCACACACAAATAGAGACAAAATCACACACCGCAGTGGTAAAAACACTTTGATGTAAGAGGAGTCGTCCTGGACTCAAAAGCATAAAGGCAGTGTTTTAAGCTGTCTCTCGTTCTCTTTTTACCCCGCCCCTGCTTCCACCCCCCCACCCCCCCTTTTCTTTTCTCCTACCCACAGAGGCTGTAAGACACACAAAGATGAATGGACTACAACCTTTCCCCCCTGTCCCCCTCTGCCACCTCTCTTTTTCAGTTCTCCCACCGCGCGCTCCTTAAGCCAGGCTCTGTCAATCCTCCCCTCTTCCTCCCAAACAGGAGGGAAAAAAGCATCAAATGTTTTTGGCTGTCAGTAATGAGGTAGTGGACCTCATCAGGGTCCAATCGCCAGCTATCCTTGGCTTTTGTTGGAGCTCAATGGCAACCCTTGCTTTGAAAAACTCAAAGGCAACTTTTTTGAGGAGTGGAGAAGAGATAGAAAGAGAGAGCGAGAGAGCAAGACAGACAGAAAGAGAGACAGACTTCATTCTTATTCTAAATGGTTGTGCAGGGAAGCTGTGGGCATCCAGCACATGCAACGATAAGAACTCGGCATGACTTTGATTAAAACTTTTACTATAACATTGATCATTGAATAATCAATTTAATTATAATAATAACCTTTTAAAAATAATCTTTTTTGTCAGGTAATATGGACATGCATGGTATTACAAAAACTAAAAATAAATAATAATAATTATTATTATTATTGGGAAGAATTTGTAAAAAATGTTGTTATATTTATGGTATTGCACAAATATTATTATTATGAAAAAGAATAATTTATTTATTGTTATATCTGTCAGGTAATTTGAACACAAAATAATTCTTATTCTTATTAAAAAGTTTTTTTTTTAAAGGTGCTATATGTATTTTTTAGCGGCCTCTATCGGTGATGTTTCAGATTGGAACCAATTTTTACAAGAGCGCTCGTGCTCTTGCGCGTGCTCGAACTCAAGAGCAAACACTCATGGTACCGGCCACACTGAGACTTTCAACACACCGGAGAAAGCATCACACAACATGCTGGAAACTCATGTAAACTCCCACTGCAACATTACAATAATAGGCTACTTTTATCAGCTTGACGTTGAACTAATGCTCCATGCTCGTACCATGATAACGTTACATTTGGGGTGTTATCTTGCATAAGGCATTCCACTAACTATTCGTGTATCTTTCACAATCAGCAATGTCAACATAGGTGAATGTATAATATGATAACGAAAACGGTTAGTGAACTAGACTGAACAATTTTAGTGTAACAGTAAGATCGTAGGAAGTAACATTACTGTACTGAACGTGTCTGGAAATGTGTATTATAAACAATATGATAGTAGTGGGATGCGTGACATTAGACGATAGATCTAGTAGCCTACATAAAATAAAAGTTACATCCTAAAGCACCTACTTTTTGTTATCCTGGAACAGTCTTTTGTATTCATTTCATGTCTCATGTATGTTGTAGTTTACCTTGTTATTTCATTAGTTTACCATTATTTATTTCAGCATATCTGAAAACTTGAAATTTACCACAATAAAAATAGCGGAGGTCTCTCCATAATTTAAACGCTCTGCCGATGTTGATCCGTGTTTTCGTCCTAAGTCGATCCGATTCACGTTTGGCCTGACGAGATACATTTTTGCAGATAAATTTTGTTTTGTTTTTTATATTAATGTGGAGTTTGTGTTGAGTCTGTGTTGTGCTGGAAGCAGGTCGTGTTTGTGTGTTATCAGACTCCATGTCGTCAGCTGCAATGCCGTCGCATAGACTGTATATAAAAAGGAGAGAGGCTCGGGAGCGCGCATGCACGTCACATCCGATGGATTTCGCAGAAAATCCGACCCGGAGACTTCACATAGAAATAGGAATACTGGCCCTCAGAGGTAATAGCAAAACCCGACAAGTGGATCATTGTAATATGTGATTACAACCCCTTCACACACAGGCAATAAAAAAGTATTCATTTTAGAAGAAAGGTTACATATAGGACCTTTAATTTATTCATTTATTTTTGGAAAACCATGTAATATGTCCATGTTTCTTGACAGATGCAACTGAAAAGTGTGTTGTGTGAAATAAATAAAAGTTAGGTGAGCAGACTCTTCTGTAGCCAATTAGAAACAGAAACACTCTCTACCTTTCAATCGTTTTACATCTTGGATGGGATGTGCTGTTGCGCAATAGTCTAATTCACTGGCTAAGTTGATTAAAAAAGTTTTCAAAAATGGCTGAAATTATCCATAAACAACATTCATAAATATTTTTCTTACTGCCAGCTAGTGCTTAAATTCAAATGATGTATTTTCCATTGCCATTTTAATTCCGTTGAAACACGTTTTAGTTATTTTATTAAAAGGTCAGTCAGTTATGAGATCCTGCACATTTTGAGGGTCTAGGGTCTTGTTGAAAGCCGAGGATGCGCATCTTAGTTGTGTGGCAAAGTGCATTCTGAGTTGAGAAGGCCATATGATGAAGATCTTTAAGGAGTTATGAGTCTTTAATGAACCCATCAAAGACCATAATCATGCAATGATCCACAAGAGGACGTGTCTTCAGCTGATTATAAAGAACCATGCACTGGAATCATTACTGATTGTATTTCTCTCCCCCTCTCCCTCCTCTCGATTACTCTCCTGCGAAATGGCCCATCAATTGTTAAGATATACTCATGGAAATGGAAAGTTTTTACGAAAAAAAAAAAAAATAGACTAGGGTGTGCAGAGGAATAACCCATTTTGATGGCTGCTGGGTAAGCGTGGTTGTCGTGGCCGTGGAGGCTGTTTACATGGCGGCCTAGTGACAAGGTCGAGCAGGGTTGATGAAGTGACACTTTTCCTTTGTGTTCTTCTGCTCACGGTTTGTCAGCCTGTCATTACGGCTGATTTAGCCAATTGGCTCGGACGTGGAACTCTGCGCTCGAGAGAGAAAAGTTGACAGCGCTGGAGAATGGGGGGAAGAGGCGAGAGATGCATGAAGAAGAGGAATAGATCGCTCCTCTCACGCTCTGTGTGGTGATTGCTAATTATCTTTAGTTCAAGGAGGAGGGTGGCGGAAAATTCACTGATTTCATAATTCGCTGGAGCTGTCATTGAGGATTGATTCAGGCAAAGGCCTCTCGCCTAAATACCACATATTATCCACATCCTGTTAAAAATAATCACCCTTCCTTTTCATCAGTCATTTTTGTCATCATTCCTCCAGCATTTTGTTTAGTTTGAAAGTTTTTTTTTTCCTCGTCACAGAGGTTTAAGATGCACTCTAGTTCCACAGTGTCAATCTGTAAAAGTGAGCAACTAACATGTTTAACAGTGCTGACATAGTTGGTACGCATTAATTCAGATTAACATTACTTTTCAATTACATTATTTTAGCATTAGGAGAATTTCATAATACATGATAACCAGTACAAACGTGCCATTATAAAATCTCTATACGTGCATTGTGAAGACTGATAAAGTTGATCCCTTAATCTTTTACACGGATTTAATAAGAATGTACTTTAGACTACATGAGATTATTGTATGTAATCTGTTAATACTTGGATGTTAAAACAGTTTATAGTAGTTCAAAGTCATTAGAGAAGGTCAAACTTAATGTAAGGCGTAAACATATGGCTTATATCAGGATTATATGGATCACATGTTGTGAATATTATTTTGTTATAACAATTAAAATGAACGCATTAGTAACCGACGACGTGTCGCATTGTCGCCCCCTAGGGGGGAATGTGTATTGCAAGCCAAAATACAAACAAAACCTATGTCATTTTAAACTTACTCTTGAAACAATGTCACTTTCTCTCTTCTTATTTTTAACCACTTTCTTTTACCACATTTCTATCTTTGCTTTACAGGAGCACTGTCATTCTATCTGTCTTGACACTGGAATAGATTACCGGAAAAGGAAAAGGAAATCATCAGAAAGACTATACTACATGTAAGACGTGTAACACACTCACTTTTAGAGCACTGCACAAGAGATCAACATCACATCAGTAATTAATAAAGCTGTAAGATAGTTTGGAGCAATTGTAACACACTACACTAACGTTTATGATTATTATTATTATTTATTTATTTGTTTGTTTTGGATGTCCTGGACTTAGAAATTTTATGGTTTATACACGTACTATTCCTGACAATCTTTTTCTTTTTAAAGAAATGAATACGTTTATTCAGCAAAGATGCATTAAATTGGTCAAAAGTGACAGTAAATACATATAATGTTACAAAAGATTTCTATTTCAATATCTTCCGATATTTTTCAAGAAACCCTGGAAAGAAATAGGTTTTTTTTCACACATATTGCAGCACAAATCAGAATATTAGAATGAATTTCGAAGGATCATGTGACACTGAAGTTAAGTAGTAAAACAATTATATTTTTACTTTATTTTGTGTGTTCATATTTGAGATACAGTAGGTTAATATGTTTTATTTTCATTCTCACTACAAGTCTATTAATGGAACAGTTATATTACCAAACAAATGTTTCTTGCATGAAAAATGGCTGGTAGATTTATAATAATTTGAGTTAAAAAAAATGTTACAATTGCCCCTGGTCTCGACTACCGGGTCTGAGAAGAGAAAACAGAATTACATGTCATGAGCGCACATTAATATAAATATACACGCCGTCTTTTTCTGACTTATTATAAACCCTTTATCTCAACAGCTGCACTTTCAGAGGATGTTTAATATGCATGTGTTTGTTGAAACCTGATTGCTGCTCCCTCTTATTCACACTCTCTCAATGTTTGCGTTTTGAATCCAACATCCTGTTCCAGGAGGCACTGTGAAAATTCAAACACAGGCCTTCAGCACACACCGTTTGATGTGACCACTTCAAACCTGGTTAATTTCATATTCAATTATCTCTCTCATTCACTCGCTTTCCATAGATCAAGTGAGCCTGATGCAGAGAATGCTGTCAATACGCTGTTTGAGGAACTGGCGTACAGACAAAATGATGGTAAGCAAGTTCATTTGCCTTTGCATAGATGGGGTTTAAGGTTAAGTGTGGATGTTTCCTTGACTTGGTGTGTGAGGTTTTATCTTGTAGTTGACTTAGATCTTATAGTTGGTTAGATAGGTTAGATTTATGTTGACTGCTTTGATGTGTAGATTAACGTTTCAATGCTAAATTGTTAGATCTTCCCAATGCATTCAGTCTAATAACTATATGTCTGTCTACCTCTAACCATTGATAGTAACCAGACCAAGGGTGTTGAACGTGCAGGGAAGAGAAGTAACCTTGAGCCGGACCTGTGGAACCATTGCAGACTGCACCTTTCAAGAGCTGTGTGAGCGAGTGAGTCTGTAGAAATAGGCATAAAATGCTGATTTGAGATCTGGTTTGTGGGGTATATTTTACAAAAGTTTTGGATGTGGATATAGGAAGGTGGGGGTTAAATTGGGAAGGGCATTCTAGCACCTCATATTCAAAAAAGAGAAACAAAACTATTAGAAGCTTGTTTGTCATTCCATATCCATTTTGTCAGTTTATTCTCCTTCCCTCTTCTAATGTGGCCCACTTAAAAAACAAAGTTACCACAAAACAAAAATGGAATGTATACACTGCTGTTTAAAAGTTTGGGTGCAATAAGATTTTAAGACGCTTTTGAAAAGAGTTCACCAAGGCTGTATTTATTTGATCAAAAATACAGTAAAAAATAGTGAAACAATAGTATAATTTAAAGCTGCAGTCCGTAACTTTTTTGGGGTTAAAAATTATACAAAATAAATTTGAGCAAGTACATAACCAGCCAGTGTTCAAAACTATCTGCTTGCCTTAGCTCGATTCAAAATGGTAAGCTTGTAATAATGTTTTTAATTCCAGTGGTACTGGTGGATTTCCGCGGGAAATTCGAGCATGTCTTTGTGTCATTACGTCACATCTGTACACATAAAGAAGGAGTCTCGGCTAGTAGGCTATATTGCGTGTGAGGATGTTGGAGGTGGAGATTTATAGTCTTTTCTCTCAGCACTTATAATTAAACTTATTAATTTGATGGCGGATCCAGAAAGGTTAAAACGACAATCACCAGTGACAACTGGAGATTCACCCGCTGTAAAATGCAAAAGACTTCAGACTTCGGAGTGGCTACAGAAAAAAATAGACTGCAACCGTTTATATTCCAGTTTTAAATAGTTTTTATATTTCAAAGAGAACCAGTTCTAAGGAATATTAATTTGTTGGTATGACAATTAGAAATTAGACTGCACAGAAATGGAAACTGAACTACAGGTAGCCCTAATAAACATTAAATGTAGTCACGCAATGCTGATGTTGTTAACATTAACAATTTGAGAACAAAGTATAATTTGCACGGTTTGACGTGATATGATAAGCGATCGTTAGATTTAATTAGCGCGATTTACTGGTCAGAACAATAGTGGATCTTACTTACTTGTTCAGATGACTCATGTTCGTCATACTTCCAAAAAGTAGAATCTGTGATTCCGAATGACAGTATCCACACCTGCGCGGTGACTGACAGCTGCACATTCTCCTCAAAACATTGGATTTATCCGTGCTGTGCCGTGCCGAGTCACAACCCATGTAAAGTTGATAATTCCGCGAATAACTGCAATTGCAGATTTTGAACAGATTCTTACAGTTTTTCCTCAAAGAGGAAAAACTACAGACTGCAGCTTTAAGATTTTATTTTATTATATTTTAGATTTATTTATTGTATAATTATTAATTATAGAATTTATTCCTTCCTGCGAAGGCAAAGCTGAATTTTCAGCATCATCACTCCAGTCTTCAGTGTCACATCATTCAGAAACATTTCTTATTATAAACAATGTTGAAAACATTTGTGCATTATAATATTGTTGTGGAAACTGTGATACAATTTTTTTCAGGATTCTTTGATTAATAAAAAGTATTTTTTTTGTAACTATAAAAAATGTCTTCACTCTTTACTTCGTGATCAATTGAATGCATCCTTGCTGAATAAAAATATTCAGACCCCAAACTTTTAAACAGCAGTGGAGTAACAAATGCATTTCAACAGGTGATTATTATTGGAATGCAAAGGATGTCAAATCTTTCTTTTTACCCTCTTACCTAACTTTCTTTTTTTTAATGTATCTCTCTGCTTTTTTCCACTTTGTTTTTCATATTTCATATTATCTACTACCACCACATCCATCATACCACTCTCCTGATACTATCGCTGCGTGCAAAATCGCGCAGGTACTACATTTGAATTTTAATTTATTTCGCGATCGCCAAAAAGTACGCTCTAAATAGTATGAATATAGGTAGTATGAATTCAGACATACTCCATGCCATGTTGTTGCTGTCACGTGACCTACCAGCGTCAGTTGCGTTGCTTCACTCCCGTCGTTTGGCCTCCATCATACGCGCACTTCAGAATACTATGTAGTTGAACATACTACTCTTTTGGCCTACTGTTTTTCACATGCTATATAGTAGGGAATTATTTGATTTTAGAAGGAGTGTATGTAATCGCCCATGCCTTGATCCATCCATCCATAACCAAGTTTATCATTGCAACCCTGTGTATGGCTAGTCTAAGCCAGCGTGTGTGCTTGTTTATGTATGTAACCTTGGACTTGGTTTACCAGTTTGAAGCTCCCTTTTTGTTTGTGAAGGAAAGAAAGGATGAGTATGCTGCTCTCTAATGGAGCCGAGGCACTGTCTCTGTGTCCTTCAGTGCTTTTGAGAGCGCTGTTCACTTCAGTGTTCTGAGAGTGTGAGCGAGTGTGTGTGTGTGCGCGTGTACATGTGTGGATTTGTCTGAAGAGTCCTCAACTTCTTCGTCTTCATAGTCAGGCTAATGCAGTAGGGACTATGTCAGCATGTGTTAATGTGCTTTCCACTGAGTTACCACAGAGAGACATGTTACCCAGAGAAGATACAGAATATAGGGTGAAATAGAAGATTAGAGACAAAAATTCAAGAGGGAATAAGCTTATGAGATAAGAGAGATGGATGGGTAAAAAGGTATGTGCCAAGGTTTTAGAGACAACATCAGTGAAGTTTCCCTCTCATTCAGTGTCACGGTGGCGAGACCCCTGATGCTGAAGCAGATGAATTTGTGTTTTTCTGTGTATATTATACTATACTTAAAACAAAATACACTAGTGTTCAGAAGTTTGGGGTCATTAAGATTTTTTAATGTTTTTGAATGAAATCTCTTTCATAAATGCTCACCAAGGCTGCATTTATTTGATCAAAAAATAGTAAAACCAGTAACATTGTGAAAATCTATTAAAATAATTGTTTTCTATTTTAATTGTTTTTTATTTTAAAATGTATTCTATTCCTGTGATGCAAAGCTGAATTTTCAGCATCATTACTCCAGTCTTCATTGTCACATGATCCTTCAGAAATCATTCTAATATGATGATTTGATGCTCAAGAAACATTTCTTATTATTATCAGTGATGAAAATAGTTGTGCTGCTTAATATTTTTGTAGAAATCATGATAAAAAAAAATCTGGATCCTTTGAATAGAAAGTTCACAAGAACATTTATTTATTTGAAATACAATGTTTTGTAACAATCTAAAAGTCTTTGTCACTTTTGATCAATTTAACGCATCCTTCATGATTAAAAGTATTCATTTCTGACCCTGCGTGATACTGTATATATACATGCAAAATGAATACTTAACCCAAAAATGGAGGTTATGTCATCATTTACTCACTCATGTCTTCCATATCCGTATGACTTTCTTCTCTTTTGAATAATGTAGTGACCTTTTTTTCATTTAATTACAGGGAATAAGGAAAAAACGTTTCATTATTAATTATAAAAATATTGTTCTGAAGCCATATTATAGCTATACGTGATCAACTGATTGAAATTTAGATAATTATATGGGTTTGAAACAACTTGAGGATGAGTAAAACAGAATTTTATTTTTTTTAGAATATTAATTATCATAGAAAGTGAACGTTTAATCATTAATGTTACCTAATCTCTTCATGTGTGTCTGTTTTTTTTTTTTTAAAGCCGCTGGGTGCAGGTGATTATTTAGAAATCTCACGGCAATTTGACACGGTCATCATACGGAATGTTCCTCACCTTTGGGTTGGAATGAAGGACCAAGCTAGACGCCTCACCACACTCATTGATAACTTTTACGACCAAAAGGTAACATGTCACAAGACACGCCATACTGACCCAGACTTCCTGAAAGCTCACGTAGGCCTTAAACATGTCCATCTCCAGAATTAAAAACACTTGATATTGATATTCATGTGCAGTCCTCAAATACATTTGTTTCATACCTTTGTCGATTTAATCATAATATCCTGTGTAGTACTCTGTTAGCACCAACATATGTACAATGGCTCACTTTCTATGTCTAAAACACTCAGGTTAGAGTGGTGATGTTGGCTGATGCACCGTTAGACCGCCTCCTTGATCAGGGACCGATGACTGGAGAGGAAGCCAGGGATCGCCTAATGCTAGATGAACTCGGCCTGACTGATGTAATGACAACACACTTAAAAAAAAATCACATTATAATTCTGAAACTATATCATAAACGCATACTGTCAGCATACATTAATGTAGCATCAAAAATGCTTTCTATACCAGTCCATGACAGTGTTATTTTTTGTATAATTTATATTCTATTTCAGTATTTATTTTTATCCTTAGCTTTTTATATTTTCAGTGGTTTAGTAATTTGCTTTTGCCATTTTTTATTAGTTTTTGTAATATTTCTATATAGCTTTCATTTTATTTCTATTTTTGTACTTTTTAACTTTCAGTTATTTGCCAATGCAACATTTCGAATTTCCGTTTTAACATTTAGAACTTATGTAATATTTATATTGTATTTTATTCCAACTTTGTTTCAATTACCTGAAAACTATTTTTAATAGGTCATGAAGAGGAGTTATTAATGATTAAAGGGGTCATATCATACATTTTTATTTATTTCCTGAAGTCGAATTGTAATGTTAGTAACATTTTTATGCCAAAATGTTTCCACTCCATTTTCCAACCTCTCTCTGCCTTAGAATTGAACAGGCCATTTTTTTCCTCTTGTTCCTTTAAGAAACACCTCTGCATTTTGACTTCCTCTTTATAGAGTGGTGCAGGGGTGACATATTTTTGTAGGCCAGCCCAGAAGTTAGACAAAACCCCTAGTATAGTATTTTTTATTGGCTTGTGAATAATTGCAGAAAATAAGGTCTGTGACTAACAAAACTGTGACTCCTGATTCTTACACTGTTCATCGTGAACATCTTCACAAATTAACGCACCTTTTTAATGAATTTTGAAGCGTAAATATGGCAGAAGTCAAAAGCTAAACGTAGACTATAAACGAACTACACCACAGTCGCATGGCTTCAACGTCACCATCACTAAGCTCCCGACAACTCTTTCAGTCTTTGCTTAAAAACATTTTCCCTGAAAGTTCGAGTTAAAATAGTTAGCAAGTGTGTGATTATAAACACAAGGCCTTGATCTAGAGAGTAGATGAGTTTATCGGTGACATTTAATGTCCCCGACAACCTCTGTTGTCCCATTTAGCCACTTGTTAGCAACCGCCTTTTACAAGACAAGTAGAAGTTTTTATAAAATCACAAGAGGATATTACAGATGTAATATCTGATGATATTACTGATGGAACTGGAAGTGCTAAAACACTAACTCGTTTCCAGGTTTTGGTATACAAAAATACGTCATCCCTGTATCACTCTATAACCTCTCCATTTCTGGGCAGTCAAGTTTCTAATCACTCTGCAGGCAACAGTGACATGTTCCATACAAATATGCATGGTAATGTATTGATATGACCCCTTAAAGTAGAGAAATCTTTATTTATTAAGCCTTGGTTCTTTGCTAATTTTTGTAGAATGGAATAGAATTTGTAATTGCTCTACTGCCTATATTTATTTTGTTCAGGAGGCCAGTGAGCGGTTGACACTATTCACAGCGGATGAAGAGGTCTTTGCCTTCCAGAGGACAGTGTCTCGCCTCACAGAGATGCAGACAGAACAGTACTGGATTAGTGGGGATCGGAGTCAAAAGTAAACTGAAACACCCTTGCAGTTACTCTACCTCTAAGTAGAGTCCATAGGAGAGTCCATGTGACCTCCTAAAACATTTGGGGTGGTACATTTCCAACACCATAAACAGACTGTCAGCCTTATTACTACTTTACAGGAAATTGGAATCATCCATATGCTCACAGCATTAATATGCAAAACTAAATGCGCATGCTGCCAAATGAGTAGATGTCCAGCACCCTCTAGTGGATGATGTATTCTGCAGCATTTAATATATTATGTAGTTTGGAATACACTCAGTCTGTGAGGGAGAAAAAAATCGTTCTACATGTACTGGCAAATATATGTAAATGCTTTGTCTAATGTGAAACTATGTAGTTATAACAAAAAAATAAATTATGAGAGAAAAAGTTGAAATTATGATATTTTTTGTCATAATTATGACTCACAATTCTGACTTTTAAAAAAAATGAGAGAGTTTAAATTATGAGAAGTCATTATGACATCAGTCAGTTTATGTCATTATAATTATGATTTACCAAAGCATGATATTTTTCTGATGTGGCAGAAGTGGGCTTCCATACTTAAATTATTAAAATGGTTACAATAAAACTTTAAGCATTGTCTGTACTAATTATGTTAAATGATAAACTAGCAAAATCAATCTCCAAAGACAAAAAAAAAAAAGTTCAAATTTTCACTGCCAGAGTGTTTTTTCTTCATCTCTCCACTTGGGATCTCTCCACTTGTGACCAGCCATGGTGGGCATAAGCTAAAAAAAAAATTACATTTTAAAGTCTCTTTCCTGTCGTTTCAATTTTTGGTCTGAAGGCGGCAGTAGAAGATAGTTCTGTTCCCAATATGACTGTACACACCCCACGTGCTCTGTGTTATTGTTTTAAATGACATTAGAAAAGCATACTGCAGTTCTCTATCTGAGAGAACTAGTATTGTCATGACCCTCTCCAAAAAACAAATCTGTACAGTACAATGCATCTATATCCATATGCTCAGGAATACTGAACAAACATAAGGGCTTATAAGTACAATTGAATTATACATTTATGTACCACAAGAGACCTTGAACAAACACATATTTCATATCTACAATCACCATCCTCATTGCAATAAGTGTACTCTACAGTGACATTATTAGAAGCATGGCGTATTAGGTGCTAAAGAATTATTTAAAATGTTTTACAAAAGCTGGTGTCAACACAGTTGTGATGGTCACCTGCAGACTTTTCCATTTCTGCAGGATAAGGAACAAAGGAGAATGAGACAGAGGGAAGGGGGTGATTTAAAACAAGGAATTAATAAAGGAGTCTTTGAGCAAACAATGGTGTTACATTTTTAGTGACTGAATAAGCAACTGCATTTAGTGCCACTTGTTGTTGCCCATGCAAAAGTATCCGAATGGCACCAATCTATCCAACATAAATGTGCGATTATGTAATTTTACTTATTTCTGACTCTGAACCTGCATTAATGTCGTTATTATTAATCTCATCTCGATTAATTTGATTATACGCGCATTTCTTCACAAACATCTGCGTCGAAATCACTGCACCCGAGAAAATACGCATCTCTGCTGGAACAAAGACGTGCTCGTGTTTTGGTAAGACGTCACTGTACTAGAGCAGCGCCACGGAGGACAGCAAACGGGTATAACATTTCTTTATTATGAATTACGTCATGTGTTTGAATAAAACGAGGCTGGCAGCAGGAGGCATGTCATGACGAACGACTTCACGCTGGGATTAAAGGGCCAGCGGAAGGGAAATACAAGACATGCCTAAACATTTGTCAGTGGCCCTAGATTTAGTAAAACCTTTTTTTTATTATTCAGTAGCAAATCTTCTGGTCATTTAATATTTAAAGGAATAGTTAGACTAAAATGTTATCATTTACTAACCACCATTATTTTATTTCTTTTATTAAAGATTTTAGGCAGATTTTTTTTTTACCTGCTATGAAAATGGATAGTGATTTTAAATGTCAAGCTCCAAGACAAAAAAGTATCATAATAGTGGTCTGCAACTTATGCACTAGTCCAAGTCTTCTGAAATAATCAATTTTGAAATTGAACTCTACTTACTCTGAAATGTCATTTGTGGTTGATTTCAATTAAGTGCTGCATTTGCATGTGGCATTTCCCATTTGAAGTCATTGGCTCTTGTCTATAATTTGACTGATTTCAACATGTTTAAAAACCTATGCCTTCAACAAACTTGTTTACCATTCATATGGACTACTTTTATGGTTCTATTACTTTAGTGACATTTCTTTTATTCCATATTGTGATGTACATCTGAGTGTAACAGATTTTTGAAAAAGAAAAAAGCACATTAAATGATCTAGTGTGTTGTGTTGTTTTTGAAAATCCAGTTATGACATTTGAGGGCAATAAAAAAATTAAAAATGTATATAGATGAATCATTCACAATAAGATCTATAACTTGCATTTACAAAACAGATAGGATGAATTTTCATTTCAAGCTGACTTTTATTGTACGGGACATTCTGCCTATACATTTACGCAAGAAAATAATACTGTGATGGAACGGTGGAAAAATTACATTTTGAGTAACCAACTCCTTTAAGATATTACTTTCCCAGGCATTTTATATAACCAAACTTGCCACAAAATGTTGGCTACTTGTGTTACATGAAAATGTTCTATAACCTCTAATCTATAGCACATTTCTGATAATATACCCAGATAATGTGGTTTGCATGTCTGAACTACGAATTCTAGCAACTGAATCTATACTTGAAAATTCGATAAAGTGATATGGGCTCTCAATGCTTGGAATGACTTGTTTGAACATGTCCTCTCGCCTGTTGGCAGCTGTGGCCCTTTAAGAGGCGACCGCATGCGCGGAATCAGGGGGCAGGTCCCTGTCAGCGGTAGAGGCTGCGTTTCTTTTCTCCCCCTCCTCTAGTCACTCAGTCCTAAGTTGAGCTCGCTTGAGTGCTGACAGACGATTAGAGCAGATAGTCCTCCTGTGCCTTCAGATAGATAGATGGGTGCAGAAAGAGAAGGGACTTTCTAGACGGGAATTTTCTGCACTGTACCGTCCGTAACGTCGAGGGATTGGCGCGCGCTCTAACAAGGCTCCGTCTCTAACGTTACCTTTAACTGTTAAAGAGACTTCTGAATGCGAAGTGACATCGGGTCAAACTGGCAAATAGCACAAAGTTATCACTGCAGTCTTCGAGCACGCTTAGTTCTGTCCTCGTTATTGTAGTTGTCTTGAGCTGACAACGGCGTTTTGGTTGTAGCCCGCTGAATGTGCTGTGGCTCTGACAGTTCAGTTCTTTTGTCACTACAGTGACTTACTGCCTGTGATGGTTGTGTGCAGTGACGTTGTGGCGCTTTGTCCGTGGCTACTGCCGAGGTGCGCTGGAGAGATATAGTTGTATTACATCAGTGCACCAAGTGACCGGAGTGCGACACAGAGAGGAGAAACGGCTCTAGCTGAATGGTGCGTGTTGAGGTATTACATTTTCCATTATAATATTATAATACATACTCATGCATGCATATATATACACACAGAGAGAGACATTATGTACTGAATTTGTTGTTTTGTTTACATGAGCTACAATAGTAGGGCTGTCACTATTATGACATTTTGGCTGACAGTGGCGATTAACGTTCGCAGTGTGCAATGCTCATACACCTGTGAAAATATTGCACTAAGGCACAATGAAATGAACATATTTTTAAAATGTTTCTCTTATCGGTTCTTAGTCCACTTTTCATTCACGCTGTTGTCGTTGCTGTTTTAATCCAGATAACTGTCATTAATAATTAATCGGATAATACTGAATATTGTTATGCAATAATGACTGCACGAATGATATATTGAAACCACTGTTAGGACATAAATATATATTTTTTTACTTTCATTATATCAGTGGTTTTAATATCATTCGTGCGGTCTTCTCCATTGTAATACGAATAATCTCTTCATATGCGTTAGTGAGTGTCAATATGAAGTGTAAGAACAAGAATATGTGCCATCAAGCGAGTGTTACATTTAAGTGAAACCGGAGCACTTCGCGAATACTATACACGTTAAATATTTGTTTATACTTTCACGTGACTGTTGCGCAGCCGTCAACGCAGACGCGTTCGCGCGCACACCGCCGTATAATCTGACACATGAAAGCGTGAAAATTTAATTATAGATTTAATGACTTTTCTATATTAGGTTAGAACTGAATTTTGAAGTGAACAATAATCATCGTTCTATGCACAATTGTATTTATGATTATAAGGTATTTTGTGTCACAAGGCTTTATATTGTATATTGTATTTTTGTCTTTCTGAAACAGGGAGGGGTGCTAATAATCATTAAGGTTTGCACTGGTCGCTCAAGAAGCATTAAGCTACATTTAGAATAGAGGTGCATTCATGGAATGCGACTGTGACCGCTTCCCACTGCCTATCTAACTTTGACTGAGACAGTACAGAGGAGTGACAGAGAAGGCTGGTAGAGGCAATGGCAGAGACAACCCTTGAACCACTGACCTCGCTGGATGTTGCCATCGATCCAGATTTTGAGCCACAGAAAAGGCCGAGATCATGCACTTGGCCGCTGCCGGAGTCCAGTTCGGCAAAGCCTGCGTCCAATGACACTGACATAATCCCAGAGGAAGAGGATGATGAGGATGACAGCGCGATGGCAATTAACGGCATGGGTGAAGGAGAGGACAACGGCAGCCCTAGCCAGGCAGATGAACTGCATCCCATTAGTGGTCAGGAGAGGACAGACTCCCTGCTCTCCTCTCAGTCTGCGACCACAGCTAGTCGGGGGGTGAGCGGTCAAGGTAGCCAACAGCAAACTCCCCGGAAGTCATCTTCAAGGAGGAACGCGTGGGGCAACCTGTCCTACGCAGACCTCATCACGAAAGCCATAGAGAGCACCCCAGACAAGAGACTGACACTGTCCCAGATCTACGACTGGATGGTCAGAAGTGTCCCGTACTTTAAAGACAAAGGCGACAGCAACAGCTCAGCTGGTTGGAAGGTAAGCGATCCGGTCGAGCAGTGCCAACCGCGTTCCTGAAGACCCGCCATAAATACAAATTTTGGTTGTCTCTGCTAATGAGCTGATGAGTTTTATCAGGTGTATTTGATTAAGCAGACATGCAAAATGTGTACTATTGGTGTGCCCCTTAAGGATCTAGGTTGAGAATCACTTTGCTAGGGAATTTGTGTGTCACAAGGTGTGCAAGTGTCTGTCATGCTCCTCCTCATTTATTTCGTGCTGCGTCCTTGTACTGCATCACGACCAGAAACACATGTTCTGGCATGTTTGGCACACTTACTCACGCACAGAAAACTGGAAAGTTTTCGAAGGTTCGCGTGCGCGTGACTCAACAGTGAGCAAGCTCAAGTGACGTCACCTGTAAACAAACTATTTGGATGCCAGTATAAAAGATAAATGGCAAATTAGGCGTGATCAGTATGGAAAAATTGTGACAAAACTATCAGATGGACTTGGTTAAAGATGGTTAAAGACCCCCAAAATACAATATCCTCAGAGACAAGTCTAATAAATGTCCATGTATCCAAATGCCTTTATGTTCATATACACGCAGAACGGCTTATGTAAAACTTGGCATGGTAAATGTACCCCCGCTAGAAGCTGCCCAGACTGTTTATGCAGGTGTTGAATGGCATTAGGAATTGCATAACAACTCAGAATGGCGCGAGCTTCTCCTTAGCCGTCAGCAGGCAGGACTGCCTTCAAAGGGAATGTCATGGTCATGGGCCATAGCCAGCATAAGACATATGGGCCTTTCACTTACAGAGCTAGAGTGGGTTGGGGGAGGGGGTATATGGTAGGGTTGTGGGTGTAAGGTCAAGGGCTGAGTTTGCAGCAGGAGGCATAGCTTGCCTGTCCCATTGGCTGTAAATAGCCATGAATTATAATAGTGAAAGGAGAGTTACTGCCGGGTCTGTGGCAACGGCAAACTATGCGGACTCCAGCTCAGTGTGGAACTGTTTGCACCCGACTCATTTAACATTCAGGTCTGTGTATGTGCATGATCATATTTCTCAAACGGCTATGCAAAATATGTTATCTGTCAGTCAAACATGCTTTATGATCAAATACTATAACCCCAATTCTAGCACGAGTACACACAAATAAACACACCTACCCCGGTCTCTATTAGGATGAGCAGTAAGTACCTGCTGCCGTTTCTGATATGTGAATAAAAACGTCTAACAGTGTTCCACTGAAATTTGCTCCCGTGTTACCTCGAGCTCTAAATATGATAGATTTACACATTCCAGCACACATCTGACGACTCCAAGCTGATCTGTTTGTACGGAGTGTGGGTGCTGGTTTTAACACAACCACAGAAAAGCTCTCCTGCAGTTGCCAGCCAATATGCACATTTGCATTTAAATAAAACATACACACACACAATAAATTATGTAAATGATGCATTTAAAGCATCAGCTCTGAATTTATGTGCTAAAGTTGGCATGAAATGGAAATTAACCCCATCTAGTTTCTAAGTAATCCTACATTTCTTAATGATCTTAAATGTGCACAAATTATTCATTCAGATCTTTCTCTTTTTTTTTTTTTTTTTGACCTCATAATTTTGAAATCAAAATATCTCAATCTTACAGTAAAACGACTTTTCTCTGGTGACATATGCCGGACTTTTCCAATCATTTGGTCCGATTAAACCCCCTCCCTTTCTTTCAAGATAGTAAGTTCACATTCAGATCTGGAGTCCATCCAATCAAAAATTGTTGGATAGAACAAACAGAATGAGAACCCAGAATAGAAGTTAAATTAAGAAACAGAAAGAGCAATGAAAATAGTCGTTATTCAAGATGTCTTATTCAAACACAAAGGTTGGAATGGTCAAGTACAGGTGCAAAAATGACAAGAAGCTGCATCACTATGGCTACCAGATCACTGGTCCTCTCTGTTTTAATGAGAGGGTTTGGATGACATGTGATCTCATAAAGGCGTTCCTTTGTTTCTGTTGAACATACTGTTGTGACTGTGCAGGGGAGAGAGAGGGAGTGACTGTTAAAGCATAGATGACATTACAGCACCCACCTCTACTCTCTGCACTGAATGTTACAGGATAATGCTGTGTTTTAATGATCTGGTTATACAATCGGGTATGAATGTGAATTAAGTTTTGAATGTGTTCAAAATTTTTTAGATTAATCTTCAAGGTTTCTTTTGCAGGTGTACAAGTGGTAAGATTTTACTGATTAATCGTTCTCCTTCACAATGAGCTCCTGCAGTGCCAGATCATACCTCTAATGCAAAATGATGTACTCTACTCTTGAAAAAAGTCAGCTTTTAAATTATTCACTTCTTCAAGCATTAATTCAGGTCATTTTATTAATTTTTAAGTGAAACCTCCTAAGCATCTCTCTCACACACACACACATTTGCCAGCTCACCGCTTTTAAACTTTTTAATCTTGTCCACTAGACTCTTGTCTATCCTCTATGCTATGTTAGAACCTTGTGTAACCCTGTTTATCTCACATCTGAAATATAATCAGATTATGTAACATAAAAAGAACAAGCTACTACTATGTGTTGCACCATTTTTGTTCCTGGAACACTTAATGTGCTGAGCTGCCACGTTAGGCCCAATTGAAATGTTTCAGTCACGCTGATTAAAGTGATCCGGTCACCCTCCAGAGGGTCCGTATTCGGCGAATTTTACTTGGCACAGTTCCAGGACGTAGGTGGTCTGTTTTAAGTGTTTCTTGTAATCTGTTTATTATCAAGAGAGTTGGGTAACAAATACAACATTAATATTATATATGCACATAATACGTGCAAAATTGCACTTCTAGAAGTACATCATATCTGCATCTTTAAAGTTTCAATGAAACCGAAGTAACGACAGAGTTTTTCTGAGTGTAATGGATTATCGAAAAAGAAAAAATGTAGGGTGGGTACTTGGTTCTTTGTATAGGTTGTTGATTAGATTTTGAGATGTGAGTGTTGCACCTAAAAAAGTGGAGACAGATAAACGCAAGCTTAGGGGTGGAGTTTAAGCAGACTATATGATTGGAGAAGTCCTGTAACCAGATTCTTCTTTCTTTTTTTTTTTTTTTGAAAATGGATAGATTTTCATTTCATGCTGACTTTTAAAGAGGGTTTAAAAATGTGTAGGAGATATGTGCAGACATTTTGCAGTTGCTATGACTGTTAACTCCTACAATCACTGTTTTATGTCTTGATTGACACATGTGAATGTTGATGTTTGGTGCTTTTATACATGCCTGGTCATGTTTAGGTGTGTGAGAGATCTTGAAGTGAGTGTCACTGGGGTCAGGGCTCCAGACTAACTTTTCCACTGGTTGTACTGGTGCTACCAACTTTCTCAGTTGGTCGCACCAGCATATGATTTGGTTTTTTTGCTACATGCCATGGGATTAATCAATGCATGCTGATGAATAGTGGTCTTAATCTGCATACCATAATTTTGCACTGATGTAAAAAGACTGACAGTGACAAGACCTCATGTTAGCAAAATGTTTTAATCTTTTAACTATCAAATCAAAATATTCTCAAAAAAACTATTAAAAAGTTAAAAGTTAAAAGATGACTGTGAAAAATAGTAGTACTTATTGAAATGCATTTATGGTGAGATTACTACATCTTATTTAATTAAATGCATTTATGATTAATTTCATTGTCATGTCAATTTGTGCTCATTTTGAACACGAACTATGCACTGTCACTTTAATTCTCGGTGTGTAAACGATCTCTGCACTGCTACGCACCGCTCCTGGAACGAATGCAGTGTGAAAATACCGTGTCAGGCTACACAAATATTGATCTTGACATTGTTAGCCTTGTCTTTTTTACATGTCGTACACTGTACATTTAACTTGCACTTATTATGACTTAATTCCTAATTGGCGCATTTCACCATCAGTGTGCAATGCGCGTGAAGACGTGTACGTTCGTTAATAAATAAACTGCAAGTGTCTTGCGGAAGAACATTGTAGCCGGAGCTACTTCTCTCCATTAATGTCTATGGCGAGTCACGCAGGCACTGGGCAACTCCGCAGCCGAGCCGACCCCGGGATAAAATAGTCAGAATATAAACACTTATTATAGGTGTACCGTAGTGATTTAGGATAAGTCAAAAACACGGTTTGGAAAATGGATTCATGATGTACTCGTTCATTTTGAACATACGGAGTGCAGCAGCTGCTGATACAACGGAGTTCTGATGACCATGCACTTGCACAAATGCGCCCACATAAAATTTTAACTCACACATTCTCAAAAAATGGTCGCAGTCTGGAACCCTGGGGGTCATAGATGTTTTGCTATGGTTACACTAAAACTTAAAGTATACTTTAGTTTAGATGTGAACGCTTGCCATATGCGTGCAGCCGAATGCATAGCCTTTCATAGTATACTCCATTTAATAGCGTGCATGAACACATCCCCTTGACACATGTAGACTACAAAGTTTCGTCCTTTTCCAGTGTCTGCGCTATTTCTCTCCAGAAGTTAAGACCAATAATAAAATAATAACTTTTTTTTTTTAAACTAGAGCTGTTGGCATCTATTGTTGTTGTCGTCTTTAGTAGTTTTATGTTGTTGTTTTGTGAAACAACGGGCCGGGTCAGTGTTGCCAACCTCTTGGACAAACCAATTAGTGCAAAACAATTGAGCACACCAAGTAAGTGTGGTTAGAAAAATCTGGCTATGTGCATATTAAGCCGATGATGAAATTTACGCCCTGCACACTGTACGCAAACCCTTGTACTCGTATGCAATATGCTTCCCAAGACAGTTTCAACCAACATCACTTGCTCTAACTCGTACATACAGTATGCACTTCCCCCCCTCGTCCAGCAGACATTTTCATATTTGAAAACATTTGATTAAAACAGACTTCCTGGTGGGGTAGTTCTACTACAGAGGCATTTTAGAAGCACACATGCTGCGGTAAACACATTTGAATGTATTTCTAGTTCAGCCTGTGCTTCTTCACACTTTTTCCGTGCC